TAGAAGTTCTCAACTCTGAAAGTTTACATTTTGGGAGGAAGAGAAATGATCAAAGCATGTTGTATGCGTGTATAGATATGCCAAAATGAAGTTCACTTGTTTGAAAAACTGGTATACTAATGAAGGAAGTAATTTTTTAAAAGTGTAGGATACTTGAATCCCAAGAAAATTGACCTTGCTGGGTGTGGTGGTGCACGCCTGTAATCCCAGCACTTGGGAGGGTGAGGCAGGAGGATCACTGCAAGTTTGGGGCCAGCCTGCGCTACATAGTAAGGTTCATTCTCCCCAAAAGAAAAAAAAAAGAAAAGGGCCAGGATTTAGCTCAGTGGTTCCGGCATCTGCCTTGCAAGTGCAAGGTCCCGAGTTCGATCCCCGGTACTAAAAAAAAGAAGATAAAATAAAATTGACTTTGTTCTTCAACAATCCAAACTATTGTATTAATGTTTTTTTATGGTGAACTTATTGTTAAAGACTAAATCATAGTGGGGTTTTCTTTTGAAATTGAGGCATTCTCTTATTGTCTCATAGCTATAATAATAGCTGTTATGAGAATAAACTTTTTGGTGTTCAAAAAAGGAAACATAGTTTGGTTTGACAATTTTTGTTTTTGCCGTACTAGGGCCTAAATGCAGGACCTTTTCACTGAGCTACACCTCTAGCTCCCCCCCCCCCCGCCCCGCCCTTTATTTATCTTAAGACAAGCTCTTGGTAGCTTGCTCAATTGCTCAGGCTGGGCTCCAACTTACTATATCCTCCCACCTCAGCCTTCCAGAATGGTGGTATCACAGTGTGCACCTGGTCTTGGACTCCTGGGCTCAAGATAGTTTGCTGCCTCAGTTTCCCACATGCTGTGACTCGAGTCACTCCATTGCACTGGCTAAGAGCAACACTTTGAATGATTCAGTCCAGCCTTTAGCTGAAAGCCCTGTTTCTGAGGGCTGCTGTAAGGCCTTGCTATCACGAGTAGAACTAAATTTTTCTAGCTGCCAAGGAATGGGTCTCATGCATGTTCCTGAGAGTTCTTTGTGGTAGCATCTGGGAACTGTGCCCACAGTGGCTTCTCTATTCCTTCTCATGCTCTTCACAGTGCAAATAGAAGAAACTCTTCAGAAACAAAGCAAAGGGGTCTGAGGGGAGCCTGCTAAGTCACGCTTGCTGTCTACGAGAGGCAGTGCTGCTCCAGGGCTGCATCCGGTGGGTGGCACGCCCCTGTAAGCCTGAGGCAGGCGAGTCCAGGGCCACCCTATCTCAAAACACAAAAAAACGGAGGCCTTGTTTCTCTTTGTCCTACCTTGTTTCTCTTTGTCCCACTGGCAGGGTAAGGGTTTTGTTGAAGAAAATCAACAAAATTTGTTGATTTCTTTTCTTAAAAAAGAGCTACAAGTTAATGATTTTTGCTTCCAGGGCCTCAAGCATGTACTCTACCCTGAACTATAACCCAGTCTTCTCACTTTGCTTAGAGAGACACAGAATGCTCTGTAGCCTGGGTAGCCTCAACTTGGCATCTGCCTCCTGCCTCGGCCTCCTGAATAGTTTTTGCCGCCATGCCCCGCTTGCTAGATTTTTAACTTCAAAATTCTCCATCATCTAATACTTGGAACTAAAAAAGATTCAAACCCCTAGGCTAGGGTATTAAAAACCAAAGCTTAGGAGCTGGGGATTTAGCTCAGTGGTTCCAGTGCCTGCCTTACAAGTGAAAGGTCCCGAGTTTGATCCCCAGTACCAAAAAAAAAAAAAAAAAACCAACCAAAGCTCTATTACTGTTTGCTGATATGAAATTACCATACTAGCATATGAAATTACCTTCCAGAAGCCAGTGAAAAATCACTGGTTTTTTATATATCCATACCTTCTTCCAAGAGGTTTTCTGAAAGAAAACCATTAGTAGTCTTTTCCTTATGTACTGGTGACAAATATGACTGAGAGGCCCCCAGTGTGAATCAGGACATCTCGGTGAGCTTTTCCTGGTGTGGGCCAGAGGGGTCGCCCTTGAGCCTCTCACCACGCTGCAGCAGGACCGCTTGCCTTGCCGTCCTCATGGAAGTGCTAGGCTATCGTTTGTGTGACCCTAGGTGACTTATTTAATAACTAAAGCCTGTTCTGTTTGTGAGGCAGGAACATGACCAGCTTATCTTGAAGGGTGGTAGTTTTAAGGATCAAAAGAAGTAAAATGGTAGTCCTTGGTAAACTAAACTATAAAGTACAATACTTAGAGCAAGTTGTTATTTTTCTAGGAACCTTAAAATGTAGCAGACTCCATAAATATTTAGGTAAAAATTATAGCAACTTAATAAACTAGATTTTTTTTGTCTGCAACATCATGATTAAACTGTAAGTCAGTGATGGCGAGCCTTTTAGAGCTTTCAGTGATACAAACAACCCTCCCCACCATGCGTGCTCTAGGTTCGCCACTACTGCCATAAGTGTTGCCCAGGTAACACAGTTGAAGGTCCTGTAAAAGTATGTGCCAAGCTGGGCATAGTGGTGCGTGCCTGTAATCCCAGCATTTGGGAGGCTGAGGCGGGAAGATTTTGAGTTCAAGGCTATTCTGGACTAAATAGTGAGAGTCTGGCCCAAAAAACAAAAAAAGTGTATCCTAGAGCCAGACTTGCAGGTTCCCGCAGCCTCCTCGGTGGGCGGCTCTCACTGGTGTGCGCAGGAACCCCTAGACCCCTGTCCGTAATGAAGAGGTGAAGTGTTTGGGTAGGACCAGCACAGAGGACTCGCGCCTGACTATGGCACTGGGCTGAAGCGAGGGCCTTCTTTCCCTCTGTGCCACAACCCCGCTCCTTTCTGTTTTGAGGTAGGGTCTTGTGAATTGCCCAGGCTGGACTCAAACTTGCAGTCCTGCTTCAGCCTCCCAGAGTTTGAGATTATAGGTGTGCAGTACCATGTTTAGGAGAATTTCTCCCCCCCCCCCGCCCCCGCCCCATTCTGCTCCCGACATCCTTCTCATCCTCCCTTTCCTTTCTTTTGGGACTGGGGAGAGTTTGCACTTACACGGAGACTCCCTTTCCCGAGGCTGCTAGCAGTAACCATTTCAGCCCCAAACTAGTATTGTCTCAAGTCCTAGAGAGCAATAAGTAACTCCTCGTCTTAGAGTCTTTGCTGTCTGTCCTTTGACCAGCTTTGACTTTTGTGTTGTTGGTATCTTAGAGCGCCATCTACTGACACAAACTGGTGACTGCAAGGCTTTAAGCGTACCAGAAGTCAGGGTTGATGAAAGACGGAAGATAATAGGTTCATGGGGAGTTAGAATTTTTTTATGTGGGGGAGCAGTACTGGGGATTGAACCGAGGGCCTTGACATTGATTTTTTTTTTTTTTTTTTGGTACCAGGGATTGAACTCAGGACCTTGCGCTTGCGAGTCAGGCACTGGAACCGCTGAGCTACATCCCTGGCCCTTGACGTTCATCTTTAATCCCCAGCTTATTTTTTATTTTGAGACAGGGTCTCACTAAGTTCCCAGGCAAGCATGAACTTGCAACCCTCCTGCCTCAGCCTCCAGGATGCTGGCATTACCATCATGCACTACCATGCCCAGCAGGATTAGAATTTTAGCTCTGGGCTGGGGATTTACCTCAGTGGCTCTGCACCTGCCTTGCAAGCACAAGGTCCTGAGTTTGACCTCTGGTACCGAAAAAAAAAAAAGAATTTTAGCTCTGACAAAACCTTTAGATGTTGTGTTGCTCAACCCAGTGATGTGGTTTGGTTTCGTTTGAGATTGGGTCTTGCTATGTAGTCCAGGCTGGCCTGAAACTCTTGATCTTCCTGCCTCAGCCTCCCAAGTACTGGGCTCACAGGCATGTGCCACACCAAACTCAAAGCCCCCTGCCTGTAATTTCAGCTACCTGGGAGGCTGGGGCATGAGGATTACAAGTTCAAAGCCATTCTAGGCAAAATAGTGAGACCCTGTCCCAAAATAAAAAGGGTTAGGGATGCAGTGCCCTAGGTTCAATCCCTGCTGCCACAAAAAAATAAATACACAGAGTTCCTATTTGTGATAACTACTTTTTTCCAAATTACTGCTGTGCTCCAGTTTAAATCTCATAGTCATTCTGGCATTTTTGTGAGTATTCCTCACCCTTAGAAGTAAATTATGAAATAAATATTTTTAAATCGCAACCTTACATAATGTAAAAAAGAACTCAATGAACTGTAGGTTTTTGGTAGCATTCAGGAAAGACTGAAGAATAAGGGAACTTGTCAAAAGCATTTTAATGGTACAGAAGAATGCATCGTATTATATGGCACATGGCAGAAAACGAATTGAGCCATGTGTGGTGTTGCATGCCTGAAATCCCAGCACTGTGGGAGGCTGAGGCAGAAGCATGGCAGGTCCCAGCCCAGCCTAGACAACTTGGTAACTTAGTGAGACCCTGCCTCAAAAAATTAAAAGGTTGGGCGTGTAGTTCATTGTGAAGGCCCTGGGTTCAATCTCCCTGTCTCCCACATTAAAATTGGAATCCAGCACTGTGAGGTAAAGGAAAACATCCAAAGAACAGGAGAAAGCATGGGTCAGGATTATTGTAAGTCTAACATGTATACAGCTATTACAGTTGCATTTAGGGTTGTTTGTTTTGAGACAAGATCTCACTGTGTAGCCCAGGCTGGCCTTCATCTCAGGATCCTCCTGCCGCAGCCTCCTGAGTGCTGGGGTTGCAGGTATGTGCTGTCCGTCCTGCACTGCTTTGACCTGATACAGTATTTTAGGTACCATACTGGATGGCAAAGGGTTGTCAGGAGCTCTTCTGCTCAGAAGCGCCAGGTGCAGGGTATGCGGGGTAAAGGCGTCACGCTGTGAAGTGAGTCAGGGCCCACAGTAGGGCTGACCCGGGGAGAAGGCATCATTGTGTTCAGTGTGAGCAGGCATAGCGCTTCTGTAAGCAGTGTGCAGTATTGGGGTCACCCATGATGTCCCTGGCTCTGTTACCATCAGGTACTTATTCAAGTCACCACCCAGTAAGTATCCTGACGTCTGTTCTGCTTTCTCACTCCAGCAGCGTCACCCTTCACACCAGAAAGCTGGCGGGCACCATGGGGAAGAAGCAAAACAAGAAGAAAGTGGAGGAGGTGCTGGAGGAGGAGGAGGAGGAGTACGTGGTGGAGAAAGTGCTGGACCGCCGGGTGGTGAAGGGCAAAGTGGAGTACCTGCTCAAGTGGAAGGGCTTCTCGGAGTAAGTGCCACACTCACGCGCTGGTGCCAGCAACAAGAGGCAGGGAGGACAGGGACCTAGGCACCCAGAGGTGCGAGATGGTGCTTCTGAGGGGTGGTGTGTATGCTCCACGGTCCACATCTGCACAGGAGTGTCACCATTTCTGCAGGGGACAGGTCTCAACACACACGCACACACGCCCCGAGTAACCCCACTTCTTGGGCTTGCTCCTCGCCCACCTGCCTTCTGGGTGAGCTCACTTCTTCTGTCCGAGTGGGAAGTATGACCTGCTGCACCCTTTGCTTTCAGTGAGGACAACACATGGGAGCCCGAAGAGAACCTGGACTGCCCCGACCTCATCGCCGAGTTTCTGCAGTCCCAGAAAACAGCACACGAGACAGACAAGTCAGAGGGAGGCAAGCGCAAGGCTGACTCTGATTCCGAAGATAAGGGAGAGGAGAGCAAACCAAAGAAGAAGAAGGAAGAGGTAAGGCCAGCGGGTAGAGTGCTCACCAGCCCAAGAGTTTCTGCCACCGCCGAGACGCCCGCCAGAGAACAGGCCGATGTGCTCTGCTGGCGTTGGCGAGGTTCGGGGCTGCTCTCCGCAGGTTGACTGCTGGTGTAGGCACTGTGCTGTCACCTGCGTTGGGGATGAACGGAAGGGTGCGCCAGTTCCCTCCTGGGAGGCGATGGCAGAGCTGCTGCTTACTCCGTGCCTTCAAGTGGCTTGTCTTTTGAGGATGAAGAGAGAGTTGTGAACAGTTGTTTGCTTGGGCTGCAGCCCTTTTCCACATTTGGGAGACCGAAAGCGTTCTGCAAGGCCGTTCTTGGAGCCCAGGTGTTAGTGAAATGTGTTGGCAGAAGAGTTTGATTCTGGATCACAGTCCCATCGAGATAAAATTGTTCCCTCTCTGGTTTTCACAGTCGGAGAAGCCACGAGGCTTTGCCCGGGGTTTGGAGCCTGAGCGAATTATTGGTGCCACGGACTCCAGCGGAGAGCTCATGTTCCTCATGAAATGGTGAGTCTGGTGTGGCTGTCTCCCTTCTACTCCTCTGTTCCAGGCAGAGGAAAGAGCTGGACCTTCAGAGTGCCATGTGCCAGTGTGAGAGCTCTAGGACGCATAGTCCCTTGCTAGTGACCCTTGCCTGGCTGCCAGCCTGGACTCATGAGTTACAGGTAGGGAGCCACAGGCTTGGGAGAGCTTTGCCCTTTTGTTTGGGGGGGGGTTGTTCTTATTGTTGGGTTTTTGGTTTTGGAGGGGGTGTTTTTGGGGGGGGGGACAAAAACCATAGAGTGGAGAGGGTATGAGATGTAATCATATTTCAGGTTTTTTTGGTTTTTTGTTTGGTACTGGGGATCGAACTCAGGACCTTGCAAGGCAGGCAGCAGAACCACTGAGCTAAATCCCCGGCCCCGTATTTCAGTTTTGTAAGTGAAGGAAAACATTATGAAAGGTGACTCAACCCCCCTCCTCTTAAAGATCTGGCTGGCCCAGGATCAGAAATTTTGTAAAAGTTTCAGTCAGGAATTTGTTTTCTTGTAGATTCTGCAATTCCAGAATCAGCCAGTAGGCGTCAGCAAGGCCCTTTTTCTGAGGCTCCTGTAAGCCTGCTTTTAGCCCATTACAAGTATAAATGCTAGATATAGTAATACAGGCTTGCATTGCTTAATTACAGGGCAGTGTCCTGAGAACTCATCAGTCTGGCGTGGTGCCGCAGGCCTGTGATCCCAGCACTCAGGAGGCTGAGGCAGGAAGATTACCATGAGTTTGAGACCAGCCAGTGAGTTCAAGGCCAGGCTGAACTACATAGGAAGAACTTGTCTCAAAAAAAAAAAAAAGGGGAGCATTGCCTCAAAAGTGGAAGGAGTGGCCGGGGATTTAGCTCAGTGGTTCCGGTGCCTGCCTCGTAAGCGCAAGGTCCCAAGTTCGATCCCCGGTACCAAAGAAAAAAAAGTGGAAGGAGTGTGCAGCACAGTTGTGTTTTGTTGAGTATTAAGTGCTGAACATACTCTGTCACTGTGCTTTTATGTGTGTTCCTGGCAGTACAGCAGGTTCACTTCCACAGCATTGCCGCGGATCCCTGAGTAATGTTGTGCCCCCTTGTCGCTGAGTAATGGGGATTTTGAGCTCCATTATAATTTCAGGGTGCCACCATCATGCATGTGCTTCGGTGACCAAAACATCACATCTATGCAGTGCCTGACTCCCAAAACACCATGGCTTCCCTACCCTCTACCCAAAAAGAAGCCTTTCTTCCCTTTCTCTTCCTAGTTGAAAATGTTTGTGCCTACTTTTTCCTCCATAACGGATCTCATTGTCCTTAATATACATACTCAAGTATAACTGAGTCAGGCCCTGTTCATTCCCCAGTGCCAAAGAAAAAAGAACAAAATAAATAAAGGCAGAAGAAGGGAGCGAGTCTAAGCCCTGGCTGAGGAAGAACCGTTCCTGCGGCTCTGTCCTCTTGCAGGGCTAGGCCCTCCTGAAACGCCTCTCCATAGTAATCTCCCGGAAGATGGGCCCTGGGCCTGGGGCAGGAGGGTTGCAGGTCGAAGCTCAGCTTGGGCAGTTCAGCCAGGCCCCTGTATCTCGGCACTGAAATGCTGCCCTAGCATATGTGAGGCCCTGGGTTCCAGCCCCAGAGCTGAAAAATGATGGCTGGAGAGGTCTAACTTCAGCACCACTAAAGGCCTGTGTCACTAGCTCTGTTTTCATTCTTCCTTGTCCTTTTCCTTTTCTCAGTACCCTGCAGCCCCCTCACACACACACACACACACACACACACACACACATTTTTGAGACAGGGTCTCATAAGTTGCTTGGGCTGGGCTCAAGGTTGGCATTCTTCCTACTTCAGCCTCTTAGAGTGCTGGGATTATAGGCATGTACCCTGGCCAGCCTTGCATGCTGGATCCAGCCCTCTTTCCGGTGGCTTAGTGCTAGCTTATATTTGAGACAAGGTCCTTTGGTGTCTGTGTTTAGATCAGATATTAATAGCCAGATGTGGTGGCACACACCTGTAATTCCTGCACATGGGAGGCTGAGGCAGGAGGATTGTGGAGTTCAAGATCAGCCCGAACTATACAGCAAGGCCCTGTCTCAAAAGGCAAAAGACGAGTTCAATCCCCGGCACCAAAAAGAAAAAAAGACAAAAGGAAAAAATTAGATGTTAACTGTAAAACCAAGTTTACTTTATTTCTTTTTTGGTACCGGGGATCGAACTCAGGTCCTTGTGCTTTCGAGGCAGGCGGCGGAACCACTGAGCTAAATCCCTGGCCCTCAAGTTTACTTTAAATAGTGACTTTGCCAGGCACTCTCAGCATTCCGGGAGGCGAAGGCAACAGGATCATAAATTTGAACTCAGCTTGGTAACTTGGTGACATAGCAAGACCTTCAAAATAAAAATAAAGGGCTGAATGAGTAGCTCAGTGTGGAAGCCCTTGTTTCAATCTGCAGGACTGGGGGTGGGGGTTCCTGTTACTGGGGTGTAGCTCAGTGGTAGAGCACGTCCCTAGCATTCCTGGGGCCCTGGCTTCAGTCACCAGTAGCACCAACAGAAAGAAAAAGCTTTTGAGTGATTTCTGCTGGAGAGTTCATATACCTGTCCATTTCTGAAAATAATATTTGTATGCAGTGAAGTGATTTTAAAATGTTAGTGCATGTCTGTCATACACTGGTGACCTCAGGGAGTCTGTAATGGCCACCAGCACCCCGCACCCCACCACAGAGTGATTCCTTCTCTGGGGTGGGCAGCAGGCAGCCTGCCTCAGCCCTGTCTTTATCCCCTCCAAGTCTTGTCTGTCCTTTGGGTTCCCCTGCTCAGAAGACATTGTTGGCCTCCTTTCCCAGGTCCCAGGGTCCTCTGGCTGCGGGTTCCTGTGGGTCCTGGCCACATGTCTGCTGCCTGCCCTGTGCCACTTCCTCTGCTTGGGACGCTCGGTGACCTGGAGATGAGAATTGACCTTGAATTCCCTTAGAATGTGTGTGCAATTTCCTAATTTTGAGAACATTGTAAAATTTGGGAAAAGCTGGGCATAGTGGCACGTGCCTATAATCCCACCTGGCTGAGAGGCTGAGGCAGGAGTATGACCTGGAGCCCAGCCCGGGCAGCTGAGAGAGACCCTGCCTCCAAAGGGTGGGAATGCAGCCCCGTGCTGAGCCACCTGCCTCCCGTGTGCCAGGCTGCATTCGGGCCCCATTACCCCTCACAAGAGGAGACAGTTTTAAGACACAGTTACTTTGTTTTTGTTTTTTGGTACCGTACCGGGGATCAAACTCTGGACTTTGCTCTTGCGAGGCAGGGCCGGAACCACTGAGCTAAATCCCCGGCCCCTTAAGACACAGTTACTTAACAGCCGCCTCTTCTCTACCTCCCCACGTTGAAGCACCGTCTCCAGACACCTGGAGGCTGTGTGTAGATGGTATCTGGCAACACACGCAGAATAGGGAAGAAAGCACCAGGTTGGCGTTAAGTCCTAGCATAAAGGCTGGCTGAGGCAGGAGGATCACTGAGAGTTCCAGGCCAGACTGAACTACATAGCAAGACCCTGCCTCAAAAAATAAAAAAGCCAGCCCGGGGATGTAGCTCAGTGGTGCCGCACCTACCTGGCAAGCACAAGGTTCCGAGTTCGATTCCTGGTACCAAAAAATTTTTTTAAAGCCCTAGTACAAGCCAAGATGGTGCTGGGTGCACTTCCTGGGGTATGGTTGCTGGCGGAGCCGCTCTTCCCTCAGATTCATCTACAGGGCTTTTTTCTTTTACTTTCCTGGGAGTTCAGGTGCAGGTGAGTCAGAAACGTGGCTTTTGACAAAGATCCCAGATTCAGGAGGCCCAAGTTCAAGGCCAGCCTCAGCTAAAGCCCTACTTCCCAAAAGTGAAGGAGACCCACCCACGAGGGGCTTTACACCGAGCAGGGTCTCTGGGCCCACGGGACTGAAAGGTGCCGTCCAGGCGTCAGGGACCAAGCTCTCACCATTCTGAGCCCCAGGGGCCGTGCTGGTCAGCAGCAGCCTGATTCCCGTCTGTGCTCTGTCTGCAGGAAGAACTCGGACGAGGCTGACCTGGTGCCTGCCAAGGAGGCCAACGTCAGGTGCCCGCAGGTCGTCATCTCCTTCTATGAGGAGCGGCTGACGTGGCACTCCTACCCCTCGGAGGATGACGACAAGAAGGACGACAAGAACTAACTCCCGGGCCAGCCCTGTCAGCTCCGGCTGGGTTTCCAGGGAGGGCCGGAGTCCTGCCCGTCCACCGCCACTCAGTGGCTTGGGAAGATGTCCTTTGAAGCGCCAGTATCGTTTCTGTGCCCTGCCGCCGCCCAAGGCCCGCAGGGGTGAGTGCGCGCCCATCTGCACTTTGCTGAGGCGGCAAAGGCCTTCTGTGAAGGACAGACCTTGCAGGTGCGGGCGCAGGCGAGCAAAAAGATACTGTCATCTTCAAAGTGTCTCCGCAACCCACAGCCTTCTCCCGATAGTGTTAACTGCATTTTTACAGCGTAGCATGTGTGTAGTTTTTGGCTATTACTGGTGTATTATTTGGGTGGGAGGGGTGGGCGGGGGAAGATGGGGAGGATCATTTTGATGAAAATTGGGGTCTGATTGGGGAAATGGTGAAACCATGGACCGAACAACTAATGATTTGGTTCTCTGTTCAGAATATTTTACCTTCTCAAAAAATGTCATTGACACCGTAAGCGAGGAAGGACTGTGAGAGACTAGTTTAGACGCTGTGAATGCCTGAAAGCCCAAGCCGCGTGGTCCCTGCCAGGGCTGACTGCCGCCCCACGGACCGGGCCGGCTCCTAGGTTACCAAAGCGGCCACTCTGGAGATGGACACAGACTGAGGTGGGAAGTCCTTTCGGAGAACATACGTGGGAGACGCTTCTGTCTCAGAGGTGCTAACCCTTAAATCAGACAAGGACAGTTCCTTTTCCCATTAGGAAGTCACATCCGCCGGTCCACCCGCCACCGGCGGAAGTGTTGGCCTCAGGAGGGGCAGCCAGAGTGGGGAAAGGTGTGGCCCAGACTCTTAGGGTGGACATTTGGGGCCTTGGGATTTTGAGCTTTGAATTCTGAAACCATTAGTGGCAGAGTTCAGTCACTGACAGCACAAGTTTCACTGAGTCCATTCAAGGGTTGAGCAATTTCAGAAGCCCTGGTCTCAGGAGATTCACTTTCACATTGGAGCAGTGGTTCACTTTAGAACACAGCCGATTTGGGGGGGAAAAAATCTTAAGAGTTAACACAGATACCCAAAATGCTCTGTCTTCAATCATGAGATCCAGCAGTTCTGGACACTGTCTTGAGCTACATTGTAAAGTCTTTCTAGGCATGTGTTAGATTTCTGTGAAATTTTTCTTTAAATGTAAACTTCATACTACACTGTCAGTTTTTGTCTTAATAAAAGTATAGATTTTTAATCCCCGATTTATGTCTTGATTAAGTCTTACCAGAAGTTCTTTTTGTTTTGGGGGGTTTTTTTGTTTGTTTGTTTTGGTACCAGGGATCGAACTTGGGTCCTTGTGCTTGCACAGCAGGCGGCGAAACCGCTGAGCTAAATCCCCGGCCCCCAGAAGTTCTTTTTATTATGACCTTGTGCATTGAACCTGTTGGAAATAGTTCTCACACATGGAAGGTTTTATTTCTTGAATGCTAGGCTTGGAAATCTGGTGCTGGGCCTGAATCTTACTCATTCATGCGTTCATTCTCTTCAGTGTTGGTGGCTGAACCAGAAAGGTCTGAGCGACACCCCAGCCATTTATTTTGAGACAGGGTCTCATTAAGTTGCCAGAGCTGGCCTCAAACTTGCAATCCTCCTGCCTCGGCCTCTGGAGTAGCTGGGATTACAGGCTGCACCTCTACACCCAGCTCACCACCCTAATTTAGTATATACTTACTGAGCATTTATAATTGCCTCGGGGATTGTGAAGATTGTCATGCTGATACATCTGAGCATTGCTGAAGGTTTAGCCCGCACTCTGGCATACTTAGAAATGTGGGTTTTATGAGATGGATTTAGGGCCCTCGTGTAGAACATCTTGTGTGGCATTAGCTAAAATCACCTCCAGTTTTCAGGAACTGTACTGTGTTAGCTCTGAAATAAAACATCATCTATTTTCTTAACATCATTAACTACCGATAATTTTAGAGCCAAAATGGGACTAACCTTTTCCATTTTTGTAAAAAGAAAAGCTCAATGGTCAAGCGCTTCCCCGAGCTGGCCTCACACAATCCTCCTGCCTCAGCCTTCCAGAGTGCTGGCATCACAGGTGTGCGCCACTGCCCGGCGTAGATGGATGTGTAAATCCAGGCTTGTGGATACCCAGCACTCACCTGTGGTATCCCAGCAGACTGCACCGGCCATCTGGTGCTGTCCACGGGAGTCGGCGTATCTTGTGGCTGTGCATGTGGGTTGTGTTGCACAGCCATCTGTCTCAGTAAAAGGGGAAAGGACAGTGCTGCTCCAGAACAGCTGGGGACCAGAACCGAATCCACACCTGGCTCCTGCAGGAGAGCTGGGTCCTCGTGAGGACTGTCTCATTTAACTCAGCCCACTGGACCACACTGTGAAGCCCAGGGCTGTGGCCTGCATGGGGCGGGCGAGTCTGCTGAGACCAGCGGCTCCGGAGTTCCACATAGCACCTCGGCCTGGCTGTGCAGCTCTGAGGCTCCAGTCCTGCTGCCCACCCTCGAGTGTGAAGGGCCTTCACTTGGACGTGACCTTGCTAAGCTTCCCACTGAAGAAACTGGTGAACGATGGAAGGCAACGAAACACACAAAGAACCCTTTGCTGGATGAAGGCCACAGCAGAGGGGTCCCCAGACTGTGTTTTTGCTGAGGCCACACGGCAGGGCCAAAAGTTCGGAGTATGCGCTGGCAGTTCTGCTGCTCTGGTCTCTTTCTGTTAAACAGCCCAGGTTAAAATAGTCACTAGTAGAACCACATCTGTACTCTGCACTGATCATGGTTTGCAGGGCTTCTGACGGCACGGAACCCCCAGATGCACCCTCAGGTCTCTGCTGGCCTTGACCACACCTGCCCTGTCTGCTGAGCGCAAGGCCTGAGGCCTGAGGTCAGGCTGGGATGCTTGCCCACTTGCTGTTACCTCAGCCCCTGACCGGGGGAAGATCAAGTCAAGTGTACTCCTCAAACTTGTGTTTAAAACAAAAGGTGCGTGGTGCCGCACACCTGTCATCCCAGCACTTGGGAGGCTGAGGCAGGAGGATCGCTGTGAGTTTGAGTCCAGCCTGGCTACATAGTGAGTTCAAGGCCACACTCAACTGCATAGTGGGACCCTGTCTCAAAACAAACCAAAACAACAAAAAAACAAAAGGCAGAATGCCTTTTTCCTTAGATGAAAACAGTACATGGCTCTCAAAAGCACTATTCAGCCTGTCCGTCCTGTGAATTAGGCTGGAAAAGCAGCAGCATTAACACTTTTGTGGGTATTTTTGTGTACCCAAAAAGGCAGTGAGGGCTTCTGTCCTCCAGAGACCACGTAAGCCCTACACTCCCAGCCAGCATGGGGACCCAGGACGCTCCAGACAGAGCCAGGCCCGAGGCGTTAGGCTCCACCTGCACCAGAGTTCAGAACCAGAGGGAAAGCTGGTGACTGCTTGTGAGGTAAAGGTGATGAGGCAGTGGGGTCTCGGGACCCTGGCAAAGCGACAGTTTCCACTTCTCGCTAAGTGGTTCAGTGACAGGAAAACATGGCTTGCCCACCTCGGCTGGGAAGGTGTGCTCCGGCCCAGTTCCTGTGTATGCGGGTAGCATCGGTGCAGGAACAGAGCAGACTTCCTGCTCCACCTGTGCACCAGGCTGTAACCAGAACATTGTGGGTCTGAGCTGAATCATTGCCCGTGCTCAGTGCCCACAGGGTTTTGTCGTATTTGGTTTTTGAGACATGGTCTGGCTGTGTAGCTGGGGAGGGCCTTGAACTCGTGATTCCTGCCTTAGCACCAGTGTCCCAGAGCCAGAAGTCTCCCCGCCCCCCACCATGCTGGGGATTGCACCCCAGGGCTCCCCATTGAGGAAAGCCCGCATTAGGTTGCCAGGGCTCCAGCCTGCCTTCCTCCTACCTCGGTCTCCCAGAATGCCGCGGAAATCGAAGGTGGTGAGGACACAGATCCCTCCAGCTGTGTGCTAGGAGAAGATGAAGCACAGCGAGGTCTAAAATGGGGGGCGGGGCCCGCCCGCTGTCCCCACAATGCTGAGCCGCCTTGGAGGCCAGATCTCAATGCCAAACCCTAAGGCTGTCTCTGGACCACCGCCTCTCAGATCTGAGTATTTCCAACCGAAGCTTCATGAGGGAGTCGGACAGAGCCCTGGAGACAGCAGCGAGTCTCCTTCGTCTCCTCCCAGAATGAAAATGAACCCTCAGCCCTGAGGCCAAGGCCCAGTATGCTGCCCACCTCGCCCAGGCCAGCTGCCCTGCTGCCCCAGGACCACCCTGCACTTCCGACCTGAGGTTTAATGGCAACAGCCCTTGCCCAGGCCTGGGCAAGAAAACACTCCACCTGCCACAGCAGTGCTCACCAACTCTGCAGGCTGAGGCAGGAGGATCCCCATGAGCTTGGGCTGCATAGACAATGTCTCAAAAAACAAACAGGGCCAGGGATTTAGCTCAGTGGTGCCCTGGCACCTGCCTCGCAAGCACAAGGTCCTGAGTTTGATCCCCAGTACCAAAAAAGAAAAAAAAACCAAAAACCCAGCATGAATTAAGGTTTTTCTAATTTAGTTTTTGGGGTTTTTTTCCCTTTTAACAACCTTACTTTTAGGTCAGGCATAGTGGCAATGCCTATAATCCTAGCTACTCCAAAGGCCGAGGCAGGATTGCAAGTTCAAAGGGCTTCCTGGACAATTTAGCAAGACCCTGTCTCAAAATTGTTTTAAAATGGATACATTATGTAAAGGTACAAGTTCCCCATGATAAATGTAAATGTACTATATACCTAAAATGTGCCAATAAAAGAATTTAAGAAAAAGGTTTTTAAATGTACAGGGGTTCGGAGTGTGGCTCAGTGGTGAGCACTTGGAAGGAGGCAGAGGCCTTGGGTTCCAGCCCCGGACTAGACACGGCCTGCATGAACGAATGAACGAGTCCACTGCCAGTTAGAGACATGGCCTCTTGGCTCTGACAAACCCTTCCCGCCCCGAGGGGAGAGTGGGGCGCTGGTAAGCCTCAATCCGAAGGAAGAATCAGCTCTTAGGGACTCACTGCACCCTAGGTATCTATCTCTAGGCATTAAAGGGCAGGGCTGAGGCAGGTGGCACAGGGTACCTGGGAGCTCAAGGTCACAGACGCCGCCAGGTACACACCAAACACCCACCCCGACATGGGCATGGGGGTGCAGCACGCACCAAGGGGAGGCCCCAAACTTCTGCTCCTTGTGGCTGGGGTCACAGCAGGTGGCTGGTTTTGGTGGCACCTGCGCGTCAGGAACGTGCTCCTCCTGCTTCGGCCTCCCAGAGTGCTGGGATTCCAGGCGTGCACCGCCACACCCAGCTCAAGTGGTTTGGGGGTCCTTCTGGACACCTCAGCTTGGGAGGTCATTTCCAGTCTTAACGCCAGCGTGAGTTCGAGGGCCGGGCTCCTGTGCCCAGCAGCGCTCATCGCCCCAGCAAGGTGTCCCGCACATGACCACTCACTCCTGGGCCGCTGAAGGAAGTCTTGCTCACAAGCGCAGCCTGCAGAGCACAGGTGAGCGGCCACCAGGAGCCTCCCGTCCTTCCCTGCACGCTGGGCAGCGCTGCACTCTGCAGTGGCCTCAGTAGCCGACTCAAGTCCCAGTCGGCCCTGGCTCCCACCACTTCACCTGAATTCCAAGTGGGGAAAAACTGCACCTGAAAATGAATCATCCATTTTATTTTATTTTATTTTGTCATGTGCTCACAGCATCCCTCTTTCTTTTTCTCTCCTCTCCCTGGCAGGTCACAGAGATAAATTAAAAATAAAATCTACGAGGAAAATAATTTATAAAAAGCACTCCCAGGCTCTGCCCCTGTCCCTGCTGCTTGGCTGGGAGCCCTGGGCGCGGGGAGAGGTCGGTGTCCCCAACCTCCCGCGGCCTGGGCCGGGCCGAGGCTGGGCCCGGGGCTGTGCTCGACCCAGGAGGCACACTTCCCCTCCTCCTACAAAGAAACCCAGAAAGGCAGGCAAGACCTCGGGCCAGGGGAGAGAACTCCCAAGTGTTCACACAGTTACACGGAGTCTTTATGGCAAAGAGAACATTTAGCAGCTTTGAAGACTGGGGCACCTCCTCACTGCACACAAGCACCCCACGCCCTAGGGGTGACGCCCGGCCGCAGGAGGATCAAAGCGGGGTCGAACGGGCCGGTCTGCGGGCCGCCCGTGCTGTGCTCAACCGCCTGGAGGTGCTGCCCGGCTCCCCTGCGTCCTCCCCGCCCCAGGCACTGCGCTGGGACCCTCCCGGGCTCCAGGGACCAGGCAGGAGGCAATGGTACAGTGCAGTACAGTGCAGCGGTTCCATGCAGGCGGATGGGACGCGGGCACCGCGGCAGGACCAGGACCAGGACGGCGGGGCGGGGCGCGAGGTGGCAGTGGCAGGGCAGTGAAGGACATGCTTGGTGTTGGGGCCTCTGCCCCGGCCGGCCCTACCCAGTGAGCCAGTGTCGCCCGGCTCCCACTCAGCTGAAACAAAGAGGCAGGCTGCCCTGGAGGGCGCCAGAGTGCAAGGAGCAGAGGGGACCGAGCCCCTGACAGCCGCCCCCGCCCCCGCCCCCCCCCGCCGCCCCGGTCTGCGGACCCTGGGTTGGGGGTTCACCACACCTAGGCCCGCTGGAGCCCCGCACACCCGCTGCCTGGAATCCGGGCCAGAGCTCAACCTTCCCTTCCTCTTTTCTGCTCGCTTGGAAGTTTGGGGTTTCCTCCCCCGCTTCCTCCACAGACCGCATTCCCCCTCCTCTCCGGCCCCCTCTGCCGCCCCTCGCCACACCTCCACCTCCGGGAAACCAGCCAGCGCCGCCCTCCCTTCGCTTGGAGGGGTCGGCCCGGCCCGAAGGTCCAGCGCTTCCACCGCCCGGAAGCCAGCCCCAAAGCGTCACGCGGCCGCCTCCCGCCGTCCTCCCTCTGAGAAGATAGATATATGGGGGAAGAAGGCATCCAAGTCCCGCCCAGGCCCAGGCCCAGGCCCGGCCAGCCCGGCCCGCTCCAGTTCCACCCGCCGTTCGCTTCACTTCCGCCGCTCCTTGGGCTTGCGCTCCTGTCGCCGCGCGTGCGCCTGCTGCTCGGCCATGGCGCGCGGGATGAGCAGGACGCTGCCGTCGCCCGCGTACTGCAGCGCGTACTGGCTGGGCGAGTAGGGCCGCCCGTTCTCGTCGCGCAGCCGGCCGAACACCTCCTGGTACAGGCTCTGGACCTTCTGCTTCATCTGCCGCAGCGAGCGCAGGGAGTCCGCCTTCTCGCGCAGCAGCCGCGCCTTGTCGCGCCGCAGGTCCTCCACGGCGCGCTCCAGGTTGAGGATGGTGTCCAGCTTGCGCCGGCGGCAGTTCTGCGCTGCCATCTTGTTCTTGCCGCGGCGCCGGATGTCGCGGATGAGGCCGAGCTGCGCCTCGCTCAGCTGGTACTTGGACAGCAGCTCGTTGAACTCCTCCACCGGCAGGTTGATGATCTTGTCGTTGGTGAAGGGGATCTTCATGGCGCGGGCGCGGTGCTCGTCCCGGCTCATCTGCTTCTCCAGGAAGTCGGCTTGCTTCTCCTTGCCGCCCCTCTTAAGGCCGCCGGCGGGGGGCAGGTCGGCGGCGTCCAGGGCGCTGGGCGCCAGGTTGTAGGTGTGGTTGTGGCCCACGTGCTCCAGGTAGGGCAGGCAGGAGAGCTGCGACGGGTCCTGGTAGCTCATGCGGCAGAACTTGGAATACTCAGGCTGGTAGCCCACGGCGCCCTCGGCCTCCTCCAGATCCAGGGTCTCTGAGTCGGAGCTGTAGCCCACGGCTCCTTCCTCAGAAAAGGAAGAGGAGGTGGAGGAGGAAGCGGAGGAGGCGGAGGAGGAGGCGGAGGAGGCAGAGGAGGCGGAGGAGGAGCTGCCCTCTGAGCCGCTCAGGGACGAAGGGCTATGGCTGGAGTCCAGGGAGAGGCCCGAGTCTGAATCGAACTCCTCTTCGAGCCGCGAGGCCTGCGCCGGGTTGAAGCCCTCCTCGATGGCCAGGTCCATCAGGCTGATCTCGTCCAGCATGGCCTCGTCCAGCAGGCCGCCCAGGGGGTCGGGCAGCTCCGGGCCGGCTGTGTCGTTGGCGGTGCCGTTGAGCTGGGGCGGGAAGAAAAGGCCAGCCAGGCCGCCGGGGCTGAAGGTGGCGTTGAGGCTGGTGGAGTTGCTGGGGACCAGCGGGAGCAGCACGGGGCTGCTGGCAGCAGGGGGCAGGCTCTCCACCTCGGGGCTGAAGAGCGAGAAGTCCTGGCTGCAGCTCCCCAGGGACGCTTGGTGCAGGCTGACATTCTGGTTGATGGCCGTGCTGGGGGCCAGGCTGTAGCTGGTGCTCAGGGCGTCCCCGGGAGGGCCACTGTACAGGGTCTCACCGCCGGATGTGTTCACCTCCATGGCCTGGGGGAGGGAGACAGCAGCGGACCACAACTGAGCAGCCAGACACAAGGCCAGGCAGGGCTCGGTCCCCCACCACCCCTCGGGACTACTTGGCCCGGCACAGGCGGCCCGGCTCCTGGGCCCCAAGTGCCCCATGGTGGAGGGAGGGCCAGGAAACCTGGGGCCGCTCACTGTCCAGGGCAGCTCAGCACAGCGAGGAGAACAAGCGCCACAGGCTCCTGACAGGAGGCCCTGCTGTCCTACATGCTCATCACCCAGCCTCGCTGAACCTCCATTGCCTCCCCTTTACAGTATGAGGCCGAGGGCCTGGGATTCAGCTCAGTGGTTCTGCGGCCTGCCTTGCAAGTGTAAGGTCCCAAGTTCGATCCCTGGTACAATCAATCAATCAATAAATAAAATAAATAAAGTAGGAGGCTGAGTGGGACGGCCTGGCTGGAGAGCCCTCTGTGGCCCTGACTGGCCTAGCGCACCAGGAAGCAGGTCTGCCCGGACAACCCTACCTGCATCTCCATGATGGACATGAGATCCTGCCACTGCTGCTCCAAATCAAACGGTGACTCTGCCCCCGTGAGGAGAGGGGACAGGAGGCTGTTCTGGAGGGCAGGGGGCTCACCCTCACTAGGCACTGCTTCTGGGAGGCTGGCGGCGTCCACTGGGAACTGGGGCAGAACACAGGGGCGTCACAGGGGAGGAGGACCACCTTCCCTTCCTCCCAGTGCTGCACCTTGCTTCCTGTTCCTTCCTTGAATTCACCCCAGGAGGACAAGGCCAGCCAGAGCGCTAGGCCTGCTCTGGCCCAGCTCACGGGCTCAGCACGCTCCCAAGGGGCAGGTGGCCTTGGGCAGCCTAAGGGCTCTTCCAGGGGCAGGGGCAACAGCCCCCCACCCACACCTGTGGTGACAGCAACTTTAAGTCTGGCTGGCCCAGGCCCTGGCTGCTGGGCCTGGCCTCTCCCTGACACAGCTGCAGGCACGCCATCTCTCTCCGGTCCCCGACTCCCAGGCCAGGCAGTTTCCTTCCCTGTCTCCCAGCGAGACCCAGCACTTCAGGGTCTGCTGCCTGTCCTCCTGATACGCAGCCCATCAGTGCCCAAACCCAGACAGGCGTGAGCTCCACCCCTCAGACACAGTCTCCAACTGCCTTCTGCAGGGAACGTTCTGGAAGCAAGCACCCTGCGGGTGCTAGGGGTGCAGGAGAGGCCGGCGGCAGAGGTGGCCATACCTGTGCAGGGAAGCACTCCCCGGTCTCTCCGTCTACCAGCAGGTCCCGGGCCAGAGCATCTGAGCCCTCGCCCGCCCAGGTGTCCTCCTGCTCGCCTCTTCCATCTCGAGACTCCTTATCCACATCCTGCTCCTTCTGCCGATGGCTATAGTCAAAAACCTCACGCCCAGCCCCCAGATCAATATCCTGCCGCCAAAGGATGTCAATCAGATCTATGTCCTGAAAGACAGACCACGACTTGACTTTAGCTCTCAACCCCGGAGCCCCTCCCTCCCTCCCTCCCTCCCCTGCCCTGCCCTGCCCTGCCCTGCCCTGCCCTGCCCTGCCCTTGGGCCCAGCCCCACACCTGCAGGCCTCACCCCCTGCTCCTCCACCCCAGGCTTCACTCATCCTCCGCCAAACACTGCCCCACCCCCACAGAGGAAGCACCACCAGCACGACTGCCCTCCTCTACCAGGCCTCCCGGCGAGGTCTGGACCAGACACCCCGGGGCTGGGGAGGACGCAGGAGACACCTGTGGTCTGGGGCAGGGGAGACCCCGAAACGTGCTCTGGAGGCTGGCACAGTAGCATGCAAGGGCGAGCTGTCATGCCGAGCTGCCCGGTGGTGGCCAGGCTTGCATCAGCCTGTGGTGCCACTGCATTTGCATAAAGGGGTGGGGTGGCCCTGCGAGGAAAATCCCTGCATTTCCAACCACCTGATGCAACCAATGACAACGAGGCCCGTTCGGCCCTTCCTCCAGCCAGCCCGTCCCGGCTCCCAGCAAGAGTAAGCTGAGCACCCACAACTCCTGCTGCCCAGGCTCACCTCGAGATCCATCCCTGCCAGGATGCCCATCTCGGCTGAGCTCAGCAAGCTGCCTCGATCCCCGGGGAGCCTCCGGCAGTCAGATGATCCCACTGGGCACCCCACCCTGCGTGGCCAGCCCACTGTCCCTCACACCAGCTGGCACTCTTTCCTCGCCACGCCCAGGACTGACTCCCCAGCAGGCGACCCACTCAAGGACATCACCCCTAGGACCATCAGCCCAGCACTGCTCGCCGCTGCCTGCCACCCAGGGTATCAAAACGCCTCCCTCAGCTCTCCCTGCAGCTCCTGAGCACTTCCTGCACCAACTGCCACCCCCACTGCCACCAGCAGAGAACCCCAATACACAGCCCAAGCTGCCGCCCGCGGCAGTGCCCTCACCAGCCTGAAAAACCCAGGCAGCCTTCCCGCATTCCCAAAGAGCCTGTCCTGCAGCAGGCGCCTCCCTGGCCCTGCCCTCCTGGCCCCCCACCGGGGCCTCTCCCCTGCGCTCTCCCACCATCCACCAACCTGCACAGGAGCCCTGGGCCCAGGACCAGAGCGGGGCTGGGCTGCCCGCTGAGTGGCCAGCAAAGAGTTAAGGGGCCGACTGCCTTTGGCCTGGCCCCTGCCACTGTGAGAGCTGCGGTCCAGGCGGGTCATGGTCTGCGAGAGGAGCCCCAGGGCAGCTGGGGCTGGGAAGCCGGACAGGGGGCTGCAAGGAGCTGTCGGCTTGCAGGGCGAACACCAAGCTGGAAGGGTGGCCCCTTGCTGGCTCTGAGGGGCCCAAGCAGGGTGCCCCGCCCGTGCTGCTGCCTGGGCGGCCCTGCCCAGCCCCCTTCCTCCATCCTGGAGCAGCCCCCTCCCACCTCACCACCCCAGTTCCACTCAGGCGCCCGGCAGCCCCCACCCGGCGCTCACCGCAGAGGCTGCAGTGAGTCGGGACTCCCACCCCATGCTCCGTGCTCACGCTGCAGAGGAAAGCAAGCTCCCTCCAGGGCCTAGCCTCCCGCGCTCCCCCTCCCCACGCCCCCCAAACTTGTTACCTAGGCTGCAGCGAGGAGCCAATCCCCTCCCCCTCCCACCCCGCAGGTCACTGCTGAGGCTGCAGAGCCAATCCCCTCCCCCAGGTCAGCAGCTGGGCTGCGGAAAGAGCCAATCCCCTCCCACTGTCGTTACCTAGGCTGCGCAGGCAGCCAATCTCCTCCCCCAAATCTTCGCTGGAGATGAGGAAGGAGCCAATCCCCTCCCACCGCCTGTTACCTAGCTGCAGACGGGAGCCAATCGCTACGCCAGGACAGCTGGAGAAGCTGCCGCAAGGAGCCAGCCCATCCCCAGGCCGCCTCCGTCTCCTTGAGGAGATGCACCCAGGGGCGGGCGGCCCCACCCAGCCTCAGTCAGCTGGGTGGCGCAGTGAGAGCGCCCTGGGGGAAGGGGCGCCACTCTCCTCTCGATGCAGCTCACTCCCCCAACCCACTCAGGCCCGCAAGACACTCCGGCCCGAGGCCCACCTGGAACCTCAGTCCTCTGCTGGGAAGTGGAAGTTTTCCTGTTCCTCAGCTGTGGCCGGCCTCAAGGCCAGGAATCACAAGCTGGGCAGGACAGGAACCCAAGACCCCACCCCACCCCCGCAAAAAGGCCATAAGCTTTGTCACCCTAAAACAGGCCAGAGCAGAAAAAGGGGAAAGCCATCTTGCAGGTATGCAACTCACTCCAGGAGGGCACAGCCCTGAAGCCCGGCCCTCAGGGACAGGTGCCAGCCAACATCCTGGCCACCAGTGCACCACCCACTCCCCTCCCCACCAGCCCGCCAGGCCCTCATTTCTCCAAGTAGGAAAGGCCCTGGCAGAGCCAAGAACACACTTTCCACCGGACTGGATCTTCAGTGGGGGGCACTCCCCGGAGCTAAGGTCAGTCAGAGACAGTGTGTTCCCCTGGTCACAGCCCGGAAAGAGCTGTCACCAGGCCACCCCGTTCTGGGCACAGTGCCAGCCTCCAGGAGAATCCTACCCCAGACCAGGGCCTAGGCCATGGCTGCCATGGAACAGCCTGGCAATGGGAGCTGCTGCCACCCCAGGGATAATACGGCTCCATGCTGCTGTCACATGCTCCGGACCCGGGTATTTTTATCCTGAGTGGCTGAGGAAATGTTCTGGACACATCACAGCTTCCCATCCCCCAGCCTGGGGCCTCCATGCAGACCCACTGTCTCCCGGGGACAATGCTAAAGGCCTGGGCTCAGTGAGAGCGTGAAGTTCACGAGGGCCTGAGTGCAGGGAAGCAAGGTCAAGGCGCCATGCTGCCCCGCCCCGCCCAGCCCCACCCAGCGCCACGCTGCATCCTGCATCGTCCAGGTCCCACAGGACACATCCCGCAGGACAGGAGCAGAGCTGCCCTGCAGGGCTCCCAGGACAAGCCTGCCTGATCCTGCCCCTGGGCACAGCCTCCTCCCTCCCGGGCATGGCCAGACTGGAGCCCACTTGAAGGACAGGAAAAGGAGCACAGAATGAAGTTCCAAGCAACACTGCAAGAGTCTAAGACAAGAGGCCCGCAAGGCAAGAAGTGCTCCTGGCTCCAGTGATCAGATAGTAAGTCTTCTCTCGGCCAAGTGCTGCTGACAAACAGGTCTGAGGAACCTGTGCTCTGGGGCGACCTTGTTACCCTGTGCTGCTTAGGGGGCTCAGCAAAGTCCTTGGCCTCTCCCCACCCACTACATACTAGTTCCACCCCCAGCTGTGACAACCAAGTCTCCAGGTACTGCCAGCTGGCCCTGGATGAGGACCACAGGCCCAGAAGGAGCCACACACTCTTCGACAGCCAATAACACTCGAGAGGGCTGAGGGCAGGAGCAGGCCCTGCAACATCGCCAATTCTGCCGTCCCTCCGAGGCCCACACAGCCAGCCCACCACACGGCCTGCTCTTTCAGAATAGGCGGCTGCAGGCTGGACACAGCGGGCCTTCCCTTGAGCTCTGGGCCCAGGAGCCGTCACACCAGTTTTCGGCTTGGTGAAGCAGGGATAGTGGGAAATGCATCCCTTTTTGCCCCAGCACGCATAGCACCAACAAGACAGGCACTGAGATCGCCTGACAGCTCAAACGGAGCTCATGCGGGCATGGGACAGCCTCCCCTGCCCGCCTCCCTGCTGTGGCCTTCAGCAGGAATGGTAGCCCTGGCCTCTCCTAGCCAAGAGCCACTGTCCAAGCCTGCGCTCTGGCTCAGGCCCAGGACAGCTGAGCCCTCTGGGCCAAGCAACCACAGGCCCAACCACCAAGAACTTCAGGGTGCACACCCATGTTCTGACATGGGCGTAGGTGCAAGGCAGGGGCCACATGGCATTTGTGTCCTAGCAACAGACATACCCAGTGCCGGGTCACATGACCCCCAGAGCAGGCCTCCAGCAAGCGTGTGGAAATCCGGGCAGTAAACATGCCGGCCTGTGGGAGGCCCCGCTGCCTGGACAACACATTCACATTCGGAGGTGGGTCAATGGTTCACCCCAGGGTAACACCCTCTGCCCCAGAGCCTCAGTCAGACAACTCCGCCCCTTTCTGCGCAGCACCTCGCCCGAGACACTACCTGCCCGCCCTGCGCCCCATAACCCGAGCCGCACCTGCCTACCCTCCACAGGGCCACTCACCTCTTTGGTTAAGTCTCCACTGACTGGAGGGGCTACAGCCCCCAAATCCTCCAAATCCTCACTGAGGCCCTGTTCGGGTTCACTTTCTCGCACTCCGTTGTCTGGGCCTGTCACATCCTGGAGGCCGCTGGAACTCTCAAGGGCCAGGCCTGAGCTGGGCTGGCTGCCAGAGACAGACCCCTCGGGGTCCCGGTGAACCAGCCAGGCATTTACCTCAGTGGTTGGCACCTGGAACCTGTCCAGGGCCCTCACCTGACTGAGGAGCCGACGGGCAGTGAAGTAATTGTCCAGGTCTATGCTCTTGGGGTGGATCCCGTAGCCATCCAAGGTATTCCGCAGGTTGTGGAACTGCGTCTGTGTGTAGGCAGAGCTGGGCCCCAGGATGATCTCCCGGAGCGGGGGGAGCTGTGAGGTCAGGTAAGTATCCACGTCCACCCGCACCCCAATCAGACTCAGCAGGATGGTGAACTGGAGCAGTCCTTCCGTTAAGTATTTCTTCAGAGAAAGCATTGCTGAAGGACCAGAATGTTTATGCTTTTTGGTTTTTAAATCTTCCGAAAGACAAATCAAGGCCACTGTTCTGCCACTCCAGCCGGCAGGTTACCCTCCTCAGTCCCAACCCTGCACCCTTCCCTGGCACAACACAGGAGCTGAGGTCCCCGACAGCCCCAAAGGAACGGACACCCAGTGGAGCCAAGGCCACACTCCGGGCCACATTCACTCTTCCCTCTGGCCACCTCACTTCGGAGCGCACACCAACTCCTCACCCAGTCCAGGCCTTCCGGCCTGCGCAACTTACTGTCTCCTCCTCAGTCCACATGCAGCTGCTTCCCCTCGCGGCACCGCCCCTTCTGCAGGTTCCGCTGAGGCCTGCTCCAGCAACAGCTGATGGATTTCTTTTCCTTCTCCCTCTAGGTTTATTTTCTTTGGCTGGAACTCCAGGCCTTTTGTCTTGGATCACAGCGTCCCGCCTCCTCCACACTTACCAGGGGGGTTTCCAGAGAAACCTGAAATAGGAGTCACAAGAGCAAGCAGATGAGATTCCATACTTCTTGCATCGTGATCAGGACAAGAGAACCTCGGGGAACAAGGGAGAAAACACTTTTATACTACAAAAAACAAACCACTTACACTCTCAGAAAAAAATAGCCTGTTATAGAGAGAACTACAAAAAGGTATTGATAACCAGGACCCCTGGATATTAAATTTGCAATACCCCCCCCCCAAAAAATATTTGCAATATCCTTAAAACTAGCTTGCTTTTGGGCAGGGGATTTAGCTCGGTGGTGCCACCGCCTGCCCTGAAAGCCCAAAGTCACGAGTTCGATCCTGGGTACCAAAAAAAAAAAAAAAACTAACTTGTTTTGGATAAGCAGCCAATCCCCAAGTCTCTTGCACTTTGTCGGATTACAAACCTGCCTCCTCCTAAACCAGCACCTTAACCAGCTCCTATTTTTAGCATGAGAAGCCCATTTCCTATGTTAAAGCTGGTTTCCAACTCTCAGGAAAAAACCACCTCCAATCACCCCTTCCAGTTCAGAAGGGGAAGGAGAGATTATTCATGGGTAAAAACGTGAACAAACACGAGGACTACCTTCAGGACAATGTTCAGGCCACTGCTCCACACAAACCAGTAACGACTTTTGTTTTCCCTACTTTGAAACCTGATTTTCCCTTCCCATCCTCACATTTAAAAAGAGACAAGAGCGGGTCGGGCCCCCTCACTGGGCTGTACCACGCTCAATTTTCTCACCAGGTTTTATCTCCACTCCTATGACCTTCTGAGTCAAACCAGAGGCTGTGGCCAAGTTCTCAACCCAGCTGCCAAGTGGGGAGAGGGGAAATCTACCTCTTGGTTTCCGGTCCCTACTTCGGTACTGGGGGTCGAACTCAGGACCTTGAGCTTTATAGGCAGGCTCGGCGCCACTGAGTTAAATCCCCAGCTCCTTCTGAACTTTTATTAACCTCATAAACGAAGACTTGCTTCCTTTCCTCCGCTGTGACCCGTCTACCCAACTTCACCGAAAATGAGGAGCAGGACCGATGTGCAGGCGCGCGGGCGCGCGCGCGCACACACACAAACACACATGCACACCCCATCAGGCTGGAGTAAACACAACTGGAACCCTCGATCCCTGCTCGAGCGAGCCTCCAGTTCCAACGTCCCAAGGGCCAATTAAGTTCAAGAAATCGAGCAAAGTTCCTCTAAGCCCGCGCCTGGGGCCACCCCGCCCCAGTACCCGAGTGTGGCGGGGCCCGCGTCGCCATCCCCACGGTCGGCGGTCGGCGTCCAGCTGCGGGTGGCGGGGGGCGAGCGAGTGAACGCGCGGCCCGGACCCGACCTGGCCCGGCACGGCCCGCGCCCAGCAAGCCCCAGAGCTCTCCCCGCCCTCCGCCGCGGCCCCACCCCGCCCCTAGCCGGGCCGCAACCACGCCTTCCCACGCCTGCTCCCCTCCGGGCCGGCCCACCCGAGCCGGCTCCTCTGCGGACCCGCGGTTCTGCCCCACTGGCCCAAGGCCCCGGCCCCGGCCGCATCCCCGCTCGGCCGACCGCCCCTAAGCCGCATCCCGCCACCCCCACCGCGTGACCCTCGGCCCCACCGCGCCGCGCCCCTCAGGGAAAGAAATGTGCCGGGTACCCGCTGCAGAGCCCGGCGTATGCCGCTGCCGCCACGGTAGGCCCTCGGCCCAAGTCCTGGCCTCGCCGCCGCCGCCGCCACCACCGGCCGGACCAGAGCTCACAGCCTCTGCTTCCCTCCCCTCCCCCTCCTCCCCCACACTCGGAAGCCCGTCCGCCGCGCCCGCCCCAGAAACAGCTTCTCCAATCACTGAGCCCAGGCCACGGCCATCGCCGGATGTCGCTCTGATTGACAGCAGAGAAAGACCAATAGTGGAGCGGGCTTCCTCTGTATCCACCAAGACGGACATGGCCTCGGCCCACTGGGTATCTATGCCCGCCTCGCGGGGTGGGCCCACCAATGAGCGCGATGAAGGCCCTGGTGTCCGGCCTTCTGCACCCCTCCGCCGCGCCTTCTTGTTAGGTGGTGTTACAGGTGCAGCGCCTTCTGCGTCTACGCACGGGGCCCCGAACAAGGGCTGGAAGGCGGTGTAACAGGCGCGAGAGCGCGGATTGCTCTTTTGAGGGTTCCCACCGTGACTTGCAAAAGTCCACCGAGGCGCACAGTGGACCGAGGCGAGGCACGGACCATGTGGCTCTCGTGGTGTCGACGCTCTTCCCGCCATCTTGGTTGCTGGCGACGGAAACCCGGACCTTGCTTCCTCTGCCTGTGCGCCTGGTGCAGCCACTCGGGCGGGGATAGCGGCTCCCGCTTCTTGGCCCAGAAGACGGTCACTTCGAAGGAACAGCCTTGCGGACCGGTTGTCAACACCGTCACCGAATCCGTGGGTTCTTGTGTTTTCTGTCAGGCAGTGGCATGAAAACAAGGTTTTATTTATTCATATTTAATTTATTTTTTGAGACAAGATCTCACCATTTAGTTCGGGCTGGCTCCGAACTCGTGGCAATCCTCCTGCCTCAGCCTTCCGAGTGCTGGGACACCACGCTCACCAAGCTTCTTTTTTTTTTTTTTGTACCCGGGATCGAACTTGGGTCCTTGTGCTTGTGCAGCAGACGGCGAAACCACTGAGCTAAATCCCCAGCCCAAGCCTTTTTATTTATTTATTTAGCTACCAGGGAACGAACTTGGGACCTTGCGCTTTCGAGGCAGGCGCCAGAACCACTGAGCTAAATCCCCAGCCCAGCCTTTTTATTCTTATACTTGTGCACGTGAAGGGTCAGAAATCCCACCCTGACACAAAGGACAAAGGTGCACAGCTCTTGTAGCATCTACAGGATAGGCAGGGTCTCACACCTGTAGAAGGGGCTTTGTAGTTACACCTGGACTCTACCACGTGTCTTCTCGGTACCATCATAAATCCCCTCTGGGTGTGATTTTTTTTTTTTTTGGTACCGGGGATCAAACTCCGATCTTTGCACTTGCGTAGCAGGCAGCGCAACCACTGAGCTAAATCCCCGGCCCTGGGTGTGATTTTTACTATGCTAAGAAAGTAAAATGTAAGTTAATGTGGTGACCATTCTACCCATATATTTGTCCCTAACGACCTGGAACTTGTCCTTTATCCTCCTAATTAGGTTTTGGAGGAGAGCAGATCATTCTTACTGCTCAGTGGGTTTGACTTTGACTTTGGTCTCTGTGGTTTTCCTTTTTTTTGTTGTTTTGTTTGAGACAGGGTCTCACTTTGTAGTCCAGGCTGGCCTTGAACTCAGAGATCCTCCTGCCTCACCCCCTGGAGTGCTAGGATTACAGGCGTGTACCACCATGCCGAGTTTAGTTTTTGTTTTGCTTTGCTTTCAGGGGTGGCTCTGGCTTCTTGGTATCCCCACTATCTACGTGGGTCTTCTAAGGCTGGGAGAGATGGCCTGGAAGAGTACCCCACCTTAACTCCTAGTTTTCCAGCATGTCTGGTAACTAAAGCTGCAGGCCAGCGCCTCGCTGTCTCACGACTGTGCTGGGATGTCAGTGGCAAGACTGGGCATAATAGTGATTTTTGTCATGGTAGGAACAGCAACAAAGAGCCCCCCCACTTCCCTAATCTGCACCCACAGAACTTAGTCTTGTTTTCTTGGAACTTTCTCCAGTTTCCAGAGTTCCCCAGGCCCATCTCGTCATATTAACCGAAATGTGTTGGTGACTCAAACCGTGTACCCCAACATCACATAAGGAGCTCCTTAGACTTGCAGATTCGGAGGGTATTCCTAGTTGTCCAGGCTGGCCTCAAGCTTGGGATCCCCCTGCCTCGGCCTGAGTGCTGGATCACAGGAGTGGGCCACCACCACAGCACCCACTGTTTGGTAGACTGAGATTGCCTAACAGTGGGATGGTAGCTTGATAAACTGCCAACTTGAGCAGTGCTGGTGCAGCCAGTCCTAAGACCACACGTAAATCACTGACTTGGAGTTTGTACGGTGGCTCCCAGCTGTGGGACAAATGCGTGCCTAAAAGTGCACGCCAACTCAAGTTCCTATCGCCTGGAAAAGCACATAATTTCATGAGCAACTCTGTCCTTGTACAATTCAGGATGAGGCCAGCTGACAACTCCCTAGATAATCAAGTCCCTGCCACCAGAGCATGGTCTCCCAGCACTCTGGAGGCTGAGGCAGGAGGATCACCAAAACTTCGAGGTCAGCTTGGGCTACACAGTGAGTTCAGGGCCAGCCTGAACTAATAGAACCTGTCTCAAATGAATAAGTAAGTAAAATCAAGTCCACACCATGCAGAGAGTGGAGGCTTGATTTGGGATGGTTCACAGATTATAAAGTACTTTCACCATATACTCCAATAAATACACCCCAGAGCCATTCCTTGAATCCTTATGGAACTAAGCTACTTTATGAGTTTCAAATAATGAGTCAAAGGACATGTTTAAGTCAGGCATGATGGTGCATGCCTGGAATCCCAACTACTTGAGAGGCTGAAGCAGGAGGATTACAAGTTGGTGGCCAGCTGGGGCAACTTAGACACTGCCTCAAAAAAGGCAGGGGCAGGGATTTAGCTCAGTGGTTTCGCCACCTGCCTTGCAAGCACGAGGTCCTGAGTTCAATCCCCGATACCAAAAAAAAGGGGCCGTGGATGTCACTCAGTGGCTGTCCAATATCCAATACCAGAAAAGGAAAAAACCCCCACATTTTAATAGCTCCTGATCAATACGAGAATATTAATTCCACAAGGACTAGAATGTTATGCATTAATTGTTGTCTGTGGATTTTTTTTTTTTTTTTTGGACACAGGGCCTATGTAGCCCAGGCTACCATGGAAGTCCTGGGGATTCTCCTGCCTCAACCTCCTAAGTGCTGGGATGAGAGCCATGCACCACCATACCCTGGTGCCCATGGAATTTAGGTGACGGTGACATTAATACTGAATCATTGAAGGGGAGCTATGTGTGTAGCTCGGTTATCGAGTGCTCGCCTACCATGCAAGAAGCAGCGCTGGAGCTGGGTGTGGTGGCACACCCCTGTAATCCCAGCACTCAGGAGGCAGAGGCAGGAGGACTGCCAAGTTTGAGGCCAGCCTGGGCTACATAGTGAGTTCCAGGCCAGCGAGACCCTATTTCAAAAAAGAAAAAAGCCTTGGGTTTCACCCTCAGCCCACCAAATAATAGTAATTGAAGGAGAAGTGAAGCGGAAGCTCAGTGAAAGCCAGGCACAGTGCACATGCCTGTGATCCAAGCGCTCAGGGGGCCTAGGCAGAAGGATCATGGGTTCAAGGCCAGCTCGAGCTACATAGCTGACCATGTGTCCAAAACAAAAGTCCCTGTTAAAATTACATGGCTAAATAAAAAGGCAGGGAGTGTAGCTCACCGCTAGCGTGCACTGTCCAACTCTCAGCTGAACCTCCGGAACACACACCCAGAAAGGAAAAGAATAGTTCCAAGCAAAAATTAAGTGCACCATGAAAGAGGTGTGGCTTTGGAGAACATGGCAAGTTACCAAGGAAATAAACCATTCAGCCACTAAATGAGTGAAACCATGAAGGTAAATAGTGGTACTGGTTAAGAAAGGTCAGAAAGCCAAGCAGGGGACTAGGGAGGAGCATGGCTAAAGCCTAGGACTTGGAGACCAGCCTGGCAAGCACCCATCTCAAATATTTATTTATTTTTCTTAAGCAGAATTTCACTATGTAGCCCAGGCTGGCCTCAAACTCGGGGGATCTTCCTCAGCCTCCCAAATTTGGGGATGACAGGAGTGTGATATCAAGCCCAGCTTCATCTCAAATATTAAAAAAAACAAAAACTTAAAACTAATAGGGGTTGCCAGGCTCTGGGTTCATTTCCCGGGACTTGGAGGAGGAAAAAATTGGTGCTGGGGAAGTAGCTCAATGGTAGAGCCCTTGCCAAGTATGTGTAGGGCCCTTGCTTTGGTCCCCAGCACTGCAAAAGTAAATGGAAGGAAAGAAAGAAAAACAAGGAGCAGTCGGGGTATTTACCTCAGTGGCACCACACCTGCCTCGAAAGCACAAGGTCCTGAGTTCCATCCCCGGTACCAAAGAAAAGAAGGGGAAATGTAAATGTGAGCGTTTATCTACCAAAGCAAGAGGGCTGGGAGAAAATATTTACAAACTCTAGAACTGAAAGACATCAAAGACTGACTGGAGTTGCAGCATTCAAATCCGGAGACTATTTTGAGAACCGGAGGAAATGAGATGATAAAAGACAAATTCTGTAGTCTAAATTTAATTGGAGGCCGGAGCGGGGAGGATAAGGAAGGTTAATCAGTTGACAGCTGCAAGTGAGACCAACAGAAAGTGTTTGTGTGGAAACCCTGATTTAAATCCCAGCATGGGTGACCAC